GGATTCTCTAAACATTCGTAAAAAGTGTGGATCTATACCCCAAGCGTTATCTAACCCACAAGATATTAATGACAATTATGTAAATGGAATTCCAAAAAATAACATTAATATTGAGAAACTCAATTATTATTTACATCACAAAAAGAATGTCAGTAACACTTTTTATTTTTCGAACGTAACCAATAACGAAATTCAAAAGATTATCCTTAACCTTAAATCTAATGCAATTGGGATTGATAACCTAGGTATAAAAAGCATTTTAATGTGTTGTCCCTATATTATTAAACATATCGGCCATATCATCAATTTTTGTTTGTCTAATGGTGTATTCCCAGATATTTGGAAACAAGCTATTGTTCACCCGCTACCCAAAAATAACAATCCAACCCAATTTAAAGACCTAAGACCTATCAGTATACTATGCTATATCAAAAATTTTAGAAAAAATTGTTAACATGCAGGTTTATCATTATCATCAGGATTTAGACCGCATCATAGTTGTGAAACGGCCCTTGCCGACATAACAGATGGAATTTTGAGAGGTATAGACGACAATAAAGTGACAGCCATGGTTTTAATTGATTTTTCTAAAGCATTCGATACTTTAAATCACTCTATGCTGCTTGCGATTTTAGAATACTACGGGTTTTCAGACGATTCATTACTGTTTTTTAAAAACTATCTTAATAACAGAACACAAACAGTAAAAGTAAATGGTGTGTTGTCGCGTCCACTCCATGTTCTTTCTGGTGTTCCACAGGGTTCCATTATTGGTCCTCTCTTATATATCTTGTATACGTCCGAATTGATAATGGCAATAAGACATTGTGCTGTCCACTTCTATGCAGATGACACTCAACTGAGATACACCTTCTCTCGAGAAAATGCCAAACTGGCTATTGAATTTATTAATAATGATATTCAACGTCTAATTAAAACCTCAGAAGATTTGGCACTCGTTATAAATTCCGATAAAACCACTGTTTCTTTATTTGGAAGAAAGATTGATAGGCACAATATACTACCGTTTTTTAAAATCAATGTAAAAAATCACGATATCGCTGTTTCCGATAATGTCAAAAATTTGGGCCTTACTTTTGATTACATCTTAAGATTTAAGCCCCATGTCACATCATGTATACGTGCTGCATATTTAAATTTAAAGAATATATATAATTCTAGATTTTACTTTACTAGAAAAACTAAAATAATTCTATGCAAATCTTTGGTTTTATCTCGCTTTAATTTTTGTGATTCGGTTTATGGTCCATGTCTTGACTCCAGTGATATCCGAAGGATACAAGTAGTTCAAAATGCCTGTTTAAGGCTCATCTTTAGTATACGGAGGAGACAACAAATTTCCTATAAGCTAGAAGAGCTACATTGGTTAAATATGGCCAATCGTAGATTACTACATGCCTCCTGCCTTTATTATAAAATCCAAAAGCCTTCTTATTTATATAATAAAATATCCTTCAGAACAGATGTACATAATGTAAATATACGATCAAGACATAAACTTACTCCTCCTAGGCATAATGCTGAAATCTTTAAAAGATCGTTTTCTTATCCAATTTCAAAGATTTTAAATAACATCTCAAAATGCTCCACAGCTAAAGGTTTTAATCTTTTTAAAAAAGATATTAAAATTAAATTACAATTAGAGCAAACATTTGCTCGAACATTTGGGCAATAGTGCAGCTATTATTTATCTTTGTTTTCTCTTTTTTATTATAAAACCACATTATTGTTTTTTGTATTTTTGTAAGTTTTTGCCCATAAATTTGTAAATTTGGATATGTATACATATTAGGTATAACAAAAGTACAACACAATATTTTAATTTGTATGATTAAAAACTTGGAATTTTTTAATTACGTTTTTCTGCTTAAGGTAAGAGTACACTTTTGTACTCGATACTGATCTTCGGCATTTTTTCTTTTAGATATGTACATTTAGGATTTATTAATTTTTGTTTTTTTTTGTTTAATTATAAATATCTTGTATGTACTAATTGAAAAATAAAGACCCATTATTATTATTATTATTATTATATATATATAATAATAATATTAATAATAATAATAATTATGTCAAATAAAAATAATTATTATGTCAATCAATCTTTTAAAAAATGTAAAATAACAGGTGATAAAATTAAATATTACTTTTGAAAGGTAAAAGTAATGACATTTACAAAGAAGAGATTTGTTTCATTGGTCCCTGTTTTTATTTTAATTATTTATATTGGTAAGATTTATTTGATAATACCTTAGACAAAGGTTTTGGTGTTTTACCTTTATATTATTAAATTGATTAAATTAGTTTACTGAAATTTAAGTGACTTTTTGACATGGGAGGGACAAGATTGGAGTCCCAATATCGCAAGCTTCTACCTTTTAGCGAGGTGTTTTGTGATTTGTACAACGGATTGAGTGGACGATTTAGGATTTGAAAAATTCGCGTGCTCTTGTCCAGGACATAGTTTTCAAGACCAGTTAAGCCTACATTTTGTGTACCTCACACAAAAGACACCAAGGAAGAATAAAAAGAGTTCTGTGCTGATTCGCTGGTTATCTAGGTGGTAACTTGAATCTGAATTGTATCCGTACATTTGAGATCGGCACACGACAATTGAAAAACTATTTTTAACCTTAATTATTTATTATAACGATTGTGCTTAAGTACCGGTACTTAAAGCTTACTTATTGAAGGCCACGTTAGACCAATGCCAGTTATGATTAGGATTGGATCCAGAAAAAGATTTTGGGGAGGGACAATAAAAACGAATATTTAATTTTTATTTTATGCTTGACATTTCCCATTTTGGAAAATCATTCAATCGCTCTTTCAGTTTTTACAGTAATATCGTAGTTTATATTAAGAAGTGCCAAACCATTCAGTATTTTCTAAAGCATTTTAGTTCGGAGGCAAGTTTTTATGCAATGCAATGATGAAAAAGATCGTTCAGCGGTAGCATTAGTTGTAGGCAAAGGCCCAAAGGATCTGAAGCAATGGATGAAAAGTGGCATATATGTTCTTGTAACAATTTTATAGTATTTTGATTGCCGAGGTCAGCTCATGATTTTCTTGCGATTTCCATTTCTGTTGCAGAGTGTCAATTCTTTTCTAAGTTTTAATTTTTGTTCTTCGCTTCCTGGCAAGATATACGTGTTCCAAGAGGCACTCGATGAGATCAGTTGTATACTTTTTTTTAAAGTACCTAATACAATTTTCCTGTACATTAAAGATATTGAATTTTTTTTAAGTTTAAATAAAACATTTCACGAAAATTTGTTTATTGGTCCAATTGGGTTAATTTGTCTCCGCGCGAATAGTTTGACTTGATAAATATTGACACCATTTTGCAAAATCAGCCATTTTTTTTACTCATACACGTCGTCGTACCGATGTACGATTAATTAACATTTTTAGTTAAATTGTTTGAAATAATAACCTAAAAGTTTGTGATTACCATGAATGCTGATAGCAATTTGCTGTGATTAGAACATTGTTGATGATAACTCGCCAGGTTAGAGACGCAGCGCAGCTAAAATCTTACTTTAGATTCCACTTTATTTTGCTCTCTGCTTTTTAATTTCCCATTAATAATGATCTTTTAACTAATTAAGCACACGATTGTTCTCGAGTTGTGAAATATGACGTTATAAAGCGTGCGATTTGGACAACAGTGACAATAGTAAACAAATGATGAACACGCCACCTGAAAAGATGTAGGTATAACTTTGGGCGGTCTGATTAAATCACGATTAAGAAGTCGCCAACAAATAACAATTTGATACTTATTTGAAATTAAAAAACAAATATGTTTTTAAGAATTAAATACATTTTTTACTTGGTAAAAAAATTTTTTGGCAACAATTATATAATTATACAAGATGGTGAAATTAATATTTCCACGGGGGGACATCGGGGACATGCCTATAGCATAATCAACATATAATGTAAAAAAATAATTAATCAACATTGACTGATTTGTATTTGCTTCTTTTCTCATTAAAAAAATATGGATCGATAGCAGTGATTTTTTAGGGATGCGGATTGGATTCACTTTAATAAAGAAAATTTTATTAACAGCCATTTATATAAAAATACACCTTTTTAAAAGATACGACACTGACGCTCCTCACCTCTTGTTTAACGCGTTATTACTTTCATATTGCTACCACCGATATCGGTGTTTTAATTCATAAAATCAAATAAAGTCAGAACCAAGTGCAAAAAGGGTAAATATTACGTGTGGCACCTCCACCTGGATTAGGCCCTAGAGTGCTCTATCTGTGAAAAAGGGTGGGAGTGAGGTGATTGGATACAACGAATAATTTTTTCTGGATTTCCAACAAAGAAACAACGCGTTCTAATAGTGGGCGGTAGAGGTTAAGAAATAACTTCACTACACCTGCTTAGGTGTCAATGCACGTGAAGTCCAAGTCTGCGTAAACCCGGTAGTATAATTACCTAAATTGCATGACCTTAATACTAAATTTTTATGCGAAATTCGCAACCTCAACTAACAAAGAACTCCACCAGGTAAACATCAATAGTCGCCAACAGTTCCCTTAAAAACAGGCAGAGCCAAAATTGGCTCACATAAATAGTCATAAATCAGTCAAGTTTAGACAAACTCTATGCAAAAGAATCCAGTCCTAAAGAAATAAACATCTGTAGACTACAAGGCATATTTAAGGGGACCATCAATTAGGTAACCAACCGAAGTGGCCGCCTCCTTAAGGACGTAATCCTACTCGGATAGAGACACGGACACAAACGAAAAGGAAGTAGGTACTTCAAGACAAGCAAGAAAAGGTCCCACCAGCGTACTAACCAACCAAGCCCCATTCATGAACCCCAATTAAATGGGGTTATTACAAAATGTGGGGGACTCCGGCTTGTACTTAGTTTTGGGTCAGTTTAATGTCCCTCAAAAACCAAAATGTTTGCCCTTCTTGTCCCGCACTTCACTAGCCTAAATCGGGCGCATGGCCCGGCCTGGCGACAAAATTCCGGGAGGGGCCTTACCCATCGACACTGTCATCCACGACCTGCAAGGTTTATTACTTTAGGTGACATCTTAAATAAGCTTCAGCTTACATAGAATAATATAAACCTATTAGCATTTAGTTAACATGTAATCTAAGGTTTTTTGTTTGACAACAAGATTAAGTAGTTATTAACTACTAGTTAATAATATAATTATTTTGTTTAGGTTTAGTTTCAAGTGCTAAAAACCAAGCCACAGACGCTGCCGACTTTAAAGATTATAGCTATGCTGTAAGAATTCTTAATCAAAATTATTTTATAAATTTATAAATATTATTAGGTGATGATATATCGTCTTGCAAAACCACGCTGCGCCGGAACCATTATACATCCAAAAGGAGTTCTAACAACTTGTTCCTGCGTTTCATGTGTGAGGAATGCCCAAAGCCTTCAAAGGGTTAAGATTTATTATGGCTCTGCAAATTTCAATGACATGTCAACTATGATGTTGGAAGCTATTCATAAGCATTCCAATTGTGATACTTACAACATTGCATACATTAAGGTAAATATTATACATAGTTTATTATTCTAAGTTAAAGTTTCAGATATCGATATTAGTGGTTTTTCTGGATCTGCTCCGTGTTGTCGGTTTTTGGTTCTTAAAAGAACCGTATGTCTGAGGACGTTTCGGTATAATCTCATGTACCATCTTCAGGTCTTATCTGCTGGGCTGCTGTTGCTACTCTGCTGCTCTGCTGCGAGTTAGACGTAACTCGCATTTTTTTGGTGACTCCCTTAATTTCGTTTTTAAAGGAAATTAAAAGAAACACAATTGTATTGTTATTTTTTTAAGGAATTAGTCAATCCTTCTACCTTTTATGGTTTTCTTATCTTTGTTTTCTTCTCGAGACTTTCGCTGCATTTAACATACTACATGTGTTCTGTTGCTTTATTTTTGGTTCCCAAACCTTTTTAAAATATTTTTTTCTTTGCAGTGGACTTAATTCGTTTTACAGAACATAATAATTTGTTTTTACAACTCATTATAAGATTTTAAATAACACTGTATATAGAAAAGTCACTGTAATTGTCAATAAAAAAATCTATGATGTGCTGTAAAAAATTGAAAAACAAAAATTAATTAATTAAACCAATATTTATTGGTTGATCGGGAGTTGTGCCAAAGTTCTAATAATTTGGATGATTTTTTTAAAGATCGGTTTTCACGAGCAGATTGGACTGCAAACACTTGCTTTCACCTAATAACTAATTTAAACAATTTTAGAACTGTTCTAAATTTTGATGGAAGCGAACTATTTGGATTATTGATCCCTTTGGTTCACGCCAAAGTAAGCAAATTTTTCCCCTATCACTTTTGTATTAGTGCCATTGTTTTGAATAAAAACATCATAAAAATTTACTTAATTCTTGTGCACACTGGTTTTGTAAGCTACGGTCGACGGTCAAAGACAGCAGAACCATAGTTAAACAACTGGCCAACTCTACCTAGTCCGTCGACCCCAACCGCTTAAACGTCAGGTAGGTAGTTTTAAGGAATCCAGTGTCGTGCCAAACAAATTAGGTTAATTTTTGAGGAAAAACTTGCTTACTTTGGCGTTAACTATCATCCCCATACTACTAATTCGTGTTTTTGAATTTCAGACCAAAGAAGAATTTTCGAAAAGCGTGAAAAGATTAAGTATTTCTCCATTAAAAACTAGTCAAATTAGAGAAAAAGGATTAAATAATTGCAAATATGCTGGTTGGGGTGCTTCTCATGAAAAGGTAAGGTTTTCTACTCAGGGATAAAAAATTAATGTATATATTTTTAGATTAATATTATTCAATCAATGGTCCAGGTATTTTTAAATAACATCAACTTTACTGAAGCTTTAGTTCCGGCGCTGTACAAATTTAATAATACTCAATTTGTTTGTGCAGTAAGTTTTTTTTTCCATTTTCTCTACAATTTTGTCCGTTTACCGGAAGTACTAATTTGGGGAAAAGTTGCTTTTGAACGGTCATCAAATTAAGTTCCTTGAAAATGGGTTGTATCCCTTCAAAACAAAAAAGAAATTGGGCAAAAAAAAAAACACGAATTGAAGCGTAAAAAAATGCAGATAAGGTACTAAAAGATAATCCTCATCGAAGTGAAAAAAAGTGGAAGATCAATTTAATATAATTAAAAAAATATGTTCTTGTTCTTGTGCGATTTATTTTAGAAAAACATGAATTACTCCCATAAATCGGACAATAAGTGACATGGCATTTCGTTACATTTTTTTTTAATCCTCATCCTCACCCCAGCGACGCTCATGAGGCAGAGCTGTTAATTAACATAAAAATCTAAAAATCGATAAAAACATGACTTGTGCCCTTTCTGCAATCGGCGATTCAAACATAATAGAATTATAAAAATATAATTTTAGGATGATGGTGGAGCAATCATTTGTAAAGATAAATTGGTTGGTATAATAATGAATAAAAAAAAGTGTGCTGATTATCAAACTAATCCAAATGAAAAAGCAAAATTTTTGTATGCCACCGATTTTGTTGAATGGTCTGAAATACAAGCCCAGAAAAAATGTGAATACTTATCTCATGTTCAAACAGCAGTCTTGTCCGACAACAATATCAAATCAAGTTACTTATCCCACAGCCAAAGAAAATTTAATCATTGCATTTTACATGTTTTAACTTTATTTATTTGTATTACAAATTTGTTACGAGTATCATAATTTTTTTGGTTAAATAATTGAAGTTGATTTTATTTTATTAAATGAGTATATTTTTTACAAAGTTCCAAAGTATAACAAAAAATAAACATATTTTACTGAACACAGGTTTATCAGCTAAAGAAATATGGGAATTAATCCAGAAAATTTGTTTATATAAATTTAAATATAAATTGTCCGATGATAATTCATTTTTTATACCGCTGAGGACTCCATTGCATAAAAGTGCGCCTCCTTTTAAAACCTAAAATAAAATAAAGATTAACCTAAATAATGGGGTACCTATATGTACAAGGAGAGAACTGCTTAATAATGATTTCCAAACTCTTGGATTTAAGGTTTAAACTTTAAACCCAAGTTTGGAAATTAATACTAAACACAAGCACTTATTTCTAAAGGAAACAGTTTTCTCCGTGTAGTATCATAAGTAAAAGAAACAATTAACTAGGGCATATAAAATACAAGAATACCTGGTCCAAAGTATTTGCTAAAATACAAACATCTTCATTTAAAAATCCACAGCTTGACGCATTGACAGGTAACCAATACATTTCATCCTAAAAGTAATGATGTAAAATTTATTAAAAATATTAACAAAAATAAATAAAGGAAATTAAATAGGTACCAAAATATATTACACAAGTTACACCGGGTATTTTTGACAAGTAGTCTTTGAGTCAGGGCCGCGCGCAAAATTTCTTCTTCGGGAGAGACAAGGTGCTGACTGCTGAGTATGAAGAAAATAAATTTATTAAAATAAAAAATGGTAGATATTCTTTTGTTGAAGAAATATTGTTGTCCTTTTAAATTACTCCCAAGAGACCACAAAACATTTTATAGGTAATTATCAGTAACAGAAGTTACTGTGAAATTTTCCATCAGACATTTAAGGTTTTCTTTATTATCTTAAACATTTTAAAATATTTTTTAAATATTTCCTGTTTATGTGGGGGTTGAAATGTATTTTGGACTATTTAGCCATAGTAAAGTCCAAGGAGGATAGATTGGTCTTCTGTATTCCATCTCATATGTTTTTTGAAAATGATGAATATGAGTCTTCTGAAGAAATAGTTGATGGTTTTGCCAACTTCTTTAAAAGTGTTTATGAGATTTCTGACAACAATATTGTAACTATAAATATTAGTAATAATAGTTCAAGCCATATTCACCTAAATTGTTTTCAAGAAAATGATATAAAAAAGCGATTTCATCTCTTAAAAATAACTCATCCCGTGGTCATGATCAAATTCCCAGTTTCTTTATTAAAGATTGCCATAATCTGTTAGTTTCACCTCTTCTTACTATTTTTAATATAATATTAAAAACTTCCAAATTTCCTTCATTATGGAAAGTTACTCGTGTCACTCCTATCTTTAAAGCGGGCAATTATCATGACATTGGTAATTATAGACCCATTGCGATTTTGTCCAACTTGTCGAAGCTTTTTGAGAAGTCATTATACATTTTTACATCTACAATGGTATGTCCCAGAGCATCTCACCCTATCAGCATGGTTTTATTCATAAACGGTCGACAGTTACTAACTTGTTTGATTTTACTCAATATACCAAGTGGATGTAATTTATACTGACTTCTCTAAGGCGTTTGATAAAGTTGATCTTACTTACTTTGTAAACTTGATTCTATTGGTCTAAGTAAACCGTTATGTAATCTTATTCGCTCTTACATTAGTAACCGCCAACTTTACGTATTTTTTAATGGTTTTGGGTCTAGTTGCTTTGTTCCTACGTCTGGAGTCCCTCAGGGATCAAATTTGGGTCCTTTGCTGTTTAATATATTTATTAATGATTTGTCGTCTTTGTTAAACTGTAAACATATACTAATGATTTAAAGTTGTTTGCTAGAATTACAACGGTTGAAGATTGCATTTTACTGCAGAATCATCTGAATGTGGTACATCAATGGTGCAAATTGAACAAGCTAGTTTTGAACATTTCTAAATGCAAAACTTGTACTTTTTCCCTTAAGAATGATTTGATAACTTACCAATACTCTTTAAACAATAATGTTCTTTCTTTTTGTGAAAGTGTTAATGATCTTGGCGTATTATTTGATAATAAATTAACATTCTCGAGTCATATACAAAATTTAGTTTCCCAAGCATGTAAATTATTAGGTTTTATTAGCAGAAATTCGAGAGGATTTAAAACTGAAATCGCTTTAAAATCCTTATACTTCTGTTTAGTAAGATCTAAAATTGAATACTGCTCTATTATTTGGTCTCCGCACTATAACAACTCAGTTATATTACTTGAAAATGTTCAACGTTATAACGTTATAACTATAGTTTTTAAAACTTCTGGCATTCAGGCTGGATAATGTGTACCCAAACAGGGGCATTGATCATCAATTATTACTTGAAAGATTTAATGTTGATTCGCTGCATTTTCGAAGAGTATGTTCTGGTTTAAAATTTTTGTACACAGTTTTTCACAACGATATTGACTGTTCTAATATCTTATTTATGTTTAATCTACATGTTCCTAGACTTAATTCTCGTAATAGTAATATGTTTTATTGCAATAATGCTCGTAATGCAATGTTAGCTTACTCACCAGTTCATGTTATAACTAACAATTACAATTTAATAAGCCATTCATGTAATTTGTTTTTTAATAGCTTAAATTATTTATTAGCTATTGCTAAAGATATATTTGAAACCTAAGGTTCTCTATTTGCATATAATTGTATATTTTTGTCCTATTATTGGAATGTATTGTTCTGTTGGGCAAATAAATTATTATTATTATTATAATTATTATTATTATATTGTATTTTATTTGTACTCGAATTTCAAGTTCAGCCATACGGGTGTCCCAGAAGTCGCGCACCACCTTGAAGATTTTTGGTCGGTCAATTGACCAGTTAATTGACCGGTGAACTGACCATATATATATATATATATTAGTTATAGGTAACTGGTTAATTTTGTAACAAAACTGTGATTAATTTGTACTTAATAAACAATGAAAATACTTTTATAAAGTACGTCACACGACCCCTCTTAACCCCCCTTAAGACTTTGTTAGGACTTTGTGACATAGTGAGCCTTAAAAATGCAATTATGCGTGATATGTTTGAAAGTGGGGTATAAAATCCCCTAAAACGGTGTGACGTACTTAATGGATGGCCCCCAGACCTATGCGGTCCTCGAGTACTTGTACTCAAATATTGTACTTTAAGTACTTTTTATGTACTCGGTACTCAGTCCAGAGTACATTTTAAAAAAGTACTTGTACTTATTTAATTTAAAAATGTAAAAATGGACACGAGTACATTGGTTGTACTCGAGTACATTTTTTGTACTCGAGTACTTTTGTTGTACTCGAGTACATTTGATGTACTGGAGTACCTACTTTAGTTGTACTCGAGTACTTTTTGTACTCGGCATCTTTGTGTACCATAGGCTTTAAAAAGGGTATGTTTGGCTATTAAAAAGATATGTCCGGCTTTAAGGGCCCAATATAACGTCGATATTGCATGATCGTAGAAATTTGGGATTTACAGGTAATTAAGACGGATGTAGGTAAATTGCAGAACACTTAAAATGCATATTAATGCAAATTTAATATATTTTGACCGGTCAATTGACCGCGGTCACTAGACCATTTTTACTTTAACAATACGCCTGCGTTTGGTAACAATTGATTATCACAACAATTAATTGGTTAGTTGGTTATCTGTTGACATTACACCATAGACAATGATTGACAGTTAAAATTCAAAAGTATCATCTGTCAGCATTTATGCATTTTATTAGTGAGTATAGTTGTCGCGGCGAATGTTTCAGATTGCGTCATCAAACTCTGAACCAAGCTAAACTTTAATCTTTAAACTTTAATCTAATAAATGCTAAAACGGCATGCCATAGAAGTACCCTGATGGTACTACCATCTATTAGATACATTTGCTATCTATAAAAATACAAACCATCTTTTCCACTGGTAAAGTGCAGTTGCCATTTAAAACAGACGTAGATAGTAAAGATGGACCAGCTGTTGAAAATTTAGTTTCCAACTAAAAGTAAAACCTGTCAGTTAAATATTATTCAAACTCATATACCAATAACTTAGTTATAGGTATATGTTCAAACTATTGAAGCATTACCTCAATAATAGCTAAATTATACTCATTTGGAAAATCTTCAAATTGGGGATGAATAAAAATATCCTTTACAGTATAAATCTGGTTCTCATTTATTCCAATTTCTTGAATTAAAATTAAAAAATTCGGTAAACGTCCATCCCATGAGGTATAAAACATGCATTTAGCAGTTGTTAATACATATTTGAAGTTTAAAACAGTTCCCATGCAAAAAGTTACATTGTTGTAGTTGTACTTTAGGAGAACCTGCAATAGTATATTTTTCAAGGAAGAATCCTGAAAACACTTACCAACAACATTAATACAAAAAAGACATAATTTTTGATACGAAACGTTCAATGTTTAAAAATAGTCTGACGGATGTAACGGATTTCACAATAAGGCTTAATTCAAACTGAAATTACGTAAACATTATAATATTTTTTCATAGACATATTAAAAAAATGGAAACGTAATGCCCATTGTTGTAGATTGTAAATAAAGCATGCCATGTGTGAGCAAACTTTACAAGTTTGTCTTGTGTGTTTTTGCTTGAAGAGGATTTAAAAACGCCGGTTTCAATATTAAAATACAATGATGGTTTGTTCTGCAAAAGTTAAAAAAGTTATAGTGACGAGAAATTATATTATTAATGAAAACTTAAAATTTGCGTTTTTTTATTTTAATCAGTACCATGGCATATTATTTTAAGCAGTAACATATTAAACGAGTTCCAAAATAAAAAAAAGCGGTCTTTAACTTTAAATTATAATTTAACTTTATTGTTGTCACCTCTCGTAATTAAAGTAATTGATTATGGCCTAGGCAGTTAAAAATTAATTAGACTATAAATCCATTGAACATTATAGTATATTATGACATTTTATCAAGTTTGATTTTGGTCACAAATTTTAATTAGACACGAGCGAGTGTTTAATAAAATGGGTGTAAAAAAGTTTATAAATGAGTTGCATACTAAACTTTTCCTTCGACAAATATTATAAAACATAATTTATTACCAAATTGGTTTTAGAAATCTGTTTTAAAACCTTTTAAAATGCAGTGTTAGTTTGTCAAATTATTCCGTAAAAATGAAATTTCTCCTTTGAAAATGGACGACGATTTAAATAGGACCAGTTTTTTACAGTGAAAGTGAAATGTTTTATGGGTACTCCACCCGGCAAATACTGCAAATACTAGTTTACTGCCAGCGAAATTTAAAGGTCAGTACAAACCAGTGGCGGCTCGTTCATGAAGGTGAGGCCCATGAACCACTATATGGCACCGCAGGCAATTTTTTTGAAATTTTCAAAGTCTCGCGTTTTTGGAGCACTTCAGAATCTAGGTAAATATTAAAAATATATTATTTAAAAATATGTTCTTTCACGAGAAGAATTTTCAAAATTTAGCTCGAATAATACAAAAAGTGCGGGACAAGGTGGGATTTTTATTTATTCCTTCAGCAGGTTTCCACATTACCTTATTACATTATTTTTAGATAAAGGCACAACCGCATAACAACAGAATAATAATGTACAAGCACAGTAGGTATATGAAACTCAACGATTTAACACTGAACTATAAAAAAAACATGAATATTTTTGATTATATTTTTTGTGATTTTTACTGTGGTATTTGTGTGTTAATATAATAGTATATACTAAATATATATTAAAATAAAAATGATGTTTTATAATTATTTGAATTATTTTTACATGAATTCACAACACAATAAAGTATTTTACGCTTGCATTTTTATCACCACTTTCCATTTTAACGCGAAGGCAAAGACTAAACAGAAATAAGAAACTATAAACACGCATAGATCTAATCAATAAGCTTTGTTTACTATAACATTCCCCGCCCAATCTTTTACAACGGCTGATAAGCGAGCCGCACAGATATCGGGATTGACTCTGCTGTCTTCCATATACTGTGGTACAAGCCCAACTTTGTGGGCCTCAATGTCTACAAAAATTCGCGTATTATCCCCGCCTTGCGGGGTTGCCGGCGGCACCGTGCAGCGGTGGGGAACATGATGTTGTATGCAATGCAATAGGCAATGTGTGAAGTATATGAAGCGCAAATTTATGGGATTACTATTTCCCTATTATGCGGTCGGGCAATGATTTAAGCGTTTAGAATTAAAGTTGGGTTAGTTATGAATTAGTTTTAAAACGTT